GCCTGTGAAGGTTATTTGCTTTGGTGTTCTAAACAAATAACTGTAATTTCTTGTGCTGGACCTTTTTTCCTAAGCTTGTAACAGGTGTTTGATATGTAATTTTTCGATAAAATCTTGAAAAAATGATTTTGTCTTTTTTTAGAAATAAGGATCAGCGGAGAGAGAGTTTTGGAAACTTTTAAGTCCTAAGATTGAATTAATGATCTGAACATCTGGATATAACCTAGTAAATTAATACAAGTTACAGATTCAGAAGGTTTAAAGTGAAACATCCAAGCAGAGGTGTTAGGTGAGGAACCTTTGGGCAGACTTCTTAAATAGGTAATATAAAAAAGTTACACATGTAACCAATTATACTCTTTTCTGTAATAGTTTATTAAACCATAATACTAATAAGTGATTAATAAAAATCAAAAGACCAAAGAGGTCATCTTAATACCAAAAAAAATATATATATATTTAGTTCTAAAATTTAAATAAAATTTTATATTGTATATTACAAAAATTAATTAATTAAAATTGATTATTTTGTTTATCTTAGAAAGCTTAAATTTATTTTAAAAAACTTTACAATATATACAAATATATTTTTTAAAATAATTTATTAAATAAAATTTATACATTAGATAAAGTATGTTTAACTCTATATAATATAAAAATTTGATAAAATTTAAATATAAACTTAAAAAATTTTATTAATAACATCTTTCAATTTTTTGCAAAAATAAAAATTTATTATGCAGATCATATGAAAAATGATCTACATGTACTCTACCCTTAAAGTACATATTAAAAAATGATCACAAGTTATCGGGATTATATGTTCGTACGGCCTATTTGTTGAACATATGCTAACTATACCCCTTTGTCCTGTGAATAAAATTCGGTTAATAGTTTTTATTATATAGATATGTACATATTTGCTTGCCTCAACATGAACATTAAACGGTTAATCGTGTAAAATTTAAAACGGTTTTTAAATCATTTATAAAATTTTTTACTCGTTTAACCATATAATATAAATAAACGAATAACGGCACCAATTCCTACGTATAAACATTGTGAAGCACTGTTCGACAGATTGTCACAATTCCAAAGTTAACGCTAATAAAAAGTTATGCACATTGATACTGTGAATTCGATGAGATTCATTAACAAATGCACATTGCACATATTAAAAAGGACTCATCTAATTGATCCAAACTATGAAATACTAATTGCCAATATTTTGTTTTAGAATAATCGGATTTTTACTACCAGCCATCTAATTCATACGTATTAGTAAATATTTATTGTTGGTTCTGAAACTTTTTCCAATATTTCAATCTTTGCACCACTTTTAATTTCAAAAGGTGAATCAGATAGCTCAGCAACATGAACCATATGTTGTCCAAAATATATTTTACCCTATAATTAATAATATATAAGTAAATTCATACAAAAAAAAGTGTAAAACGTTAGAATATGACTCACTTTAAATCGACGATATTTTGCTAGAGTCGAATATGGTTCTTTAATTTTCTCGCCTGTTTCATGATTTATACAGACCATATGACACCTTCTACACGGACCAATCAACTTTAATTATAAAAAAAAATTTTGAATTAATCTTACATATGCTTTCCGGACACAATCAAATTAGACACTTTACCCTAAATACTTGTCCACCGATCTTAATCATTTTCCACTCATCTTCTTCATATCCATGCATGGCTTTAATTAAAAAATTGGCTCTAAAACAATCTGCGACAATTGTTTCATCTTTATTTTCATTTTCAAGAATCTTTTCATTAACATGATTAACACTGTTTCTTGAAATCAATAAAAACGGTGATTCATTTGATAATGAAAGGTGTGCATTTTTTAATGGCACGTCAAGATGCGGCTTTATGAATCGGCGAGATTGAATGAAATCGTTGCTATTATTGATTAAAGGTGGTTGCCGAGCTAAGCGACATGGTATACCAAGAAAATTTGTAAACCAATTTGTAATATGTGGAGATGTGTATACAAGTGCTTCAATTCTAGTTTACAAATTAGCAGTTTAATTGTTTAAAGTTTATTTAAGACACTAAATGAATACGTTAGAAAAAGTAAATAAGTAAATACTTGTCACCACAAACTTGTGATGGGCACATTGAAAAGTCAATGTCATTAGGATATTCATTCAACTTTATTTGAAGAGGTTCTTGTCCTATTTGAATGTATTATTTCATATAAGGTAAATAGTATTATTATTACTAATCAGTTTTATACAACATAGATAAATGTAATAACAAAGTTGATTGATTTATATGACGCTACCAGGCGCCGAAATAACAAGCAATTCTTTGTCTTGAAAAATGGCTGGATGAATTAAAGTCATCTTTGGATATCTATTATTTTATCGCGTAAAAATTATTCACAATTTTATTAAACAAAACTGCTAATAACATGAATAGGTTCTTACATTTTTTGACTTAATGCCTTTCCAGTTCTTAAATTTACCAACATCCATTCACGGTCATATAATAGTCCTTGACTAGTTACTGGCCAAGACGATGAGGGTGGCATTGTAAACCCGTGACATGATTTAATTGGAACTATAATGTCCAATAGTAAACATTAAAGTTGCTAACTGCTTTATAAAAAGCAAAAAATTATTTCAAAGGAAAAACATACACAAAGTTATTCTTTCCACAACCAAATTTGATTGATTTGAATAAGTTATACTGGTGTCAAAAACCATGTTTTGTGACACATTATATGGTGGGGTTGATTCCACAAAATATGTATTGAAGAAATCTAACCATATAAGAATGTCATCGATAGCTGACATGGAACCTATAGAGATACGTATCGAACCCGTGGGCTTTCCGTTATAAATATCATGATCATCACCACATACTTTTCCAGTCTTTTTGCATAAAAAGCCATGTTTATATAAATAAAATATACAAATAACCACGAATATAATACATACAGCTAATTTTTGATATAACGAATTTTCGTGTATGACATAAAAAAAATCAACTATGTAAAAGCGTTAATGAACGACTCTTTATAACAAATTAATGGTTAAAAAAAAAAATTAGTTATTACAAAATTTAAAAAAATTCGTCATATCAAAAATTTGTTGTAGAGTTAACTGTACAAGATTTAGATACGAACTTACCTTAAAATTAGCAATAACTTGATCTGTTTTAACGTTTACCCATCTTGATAAACAACCAGGATTACAAAAACCACCAGTTCTAACATGAATCCCGTTCACGCTTGCCAACTTTTCTACTTCAAGGTACCCAATCCAAGAACCATCAGCGCGCTTTACATTAAAATTGAAGACGGGTCCCTGAATAGAACTATCTGAGAAGTCATTATCAGCATGGATGACACACACAGAGGAACCATTCCAATGACGAAGTGAATTCATTTGTCTATAGAGATAGGCACTAAGAGCGGTCACATGATCCTTAATAAAACAAAAGTCCGTGTATATTCGTTCCATCGAATTGAACGCATGCTCTAGGGATATAATCTCCAAAAAGTTAATAGTCCCATCTTCATAACGATCACTCAGATTCTCTCGAAATTCTTGCCATGGTCGATCATAAGCGACTGCGCGAACTATATATTAAAAATAGATATCATTAATACAGGAAAATTTTTAAAAAAATTATATATATATCTTTATTTATTTACATGCGTACCTGTGCCTCCGCCAAAGTATCGCTTTTCTAATATAGGAGTCAATTCAGTTTTTACTAATAAAGCACCCAAACCTGTGGGAAACCCAAAAATTTTATAAAAGCTAATAGCAACAAAGTCTGGAGATATATCCTTATCTGCCAATGATAATGGAGAAGTTGCTACGTAAGCAGCAGCGTCAAGCAAGACTAATACCTTTGATTTATTAGAATCTAATTTTTTAATCATTTTTGTCCATGTGAGTGGAAATCTTTGACCAGAGAAATTGCATTGTGCAGGATACGCGAAAAGATTATACACAATGTTGTGGTTTATTTCGTGATTTATTTTGTAATTTATTCCAGGATTTAAATTTTCATTAATTGAATATTCTTGAATATTCTTAAATGTTGTTTCTAGATCATCTTCAGTTACAGCTTGAATATCCGGAGAATTATTTTCTTCGGCAAAACGTCTTAAACCTATCACACTGTTGTGAGCTTCTCTCAAATATTTGAAGGAACTTTGTCCAAAAGTCCAAGGGAAAGCTTCTCCAACTAATTTAATTGCAGCACTAGCGTTTTGAGTAAATATAACTTGATATTCACCGGGATTTGCATTAAAATGTCTCAGAATACGGGCTCGAATTAGTTCAACTCGCTGAGAAGTAAGTTGGGAACTTGGGTTGTACGAGTGGGGATTGCCGAAAAGGTTATTTGTAAGATCATTTGTGAAGGAATTTAAGACACTTTTTGCATATGCAGTCGCACCAGAATGATCAAGATAAACGGATCCTTGCAAACCAAAAAAAGATCAATAAAATAAAAAAGTGATTGTAAGAATGGTTTAAATACCTTTTAATTGTGGATATTCGTTCTCACGTATAGAATCAATTTTTCCATTGTACCCATATTGGGAAGAAAATTCTTTTAAGAATTCTAATTTTTTGGTATTATATTTTAAGATAATTTGGTGAAAAGGATCATAAGTGTTAGGTACCATGATTTTTTGACACGGAGTGGCAGTGTAGATGCAGATATTTATATCCTTGCGTAGCACTGATGCAAATGTGCGTGGGAAAGTGCTTTTAAGGTTGATCTGCATTAACGTTAACGCAATATCGGGAAATTTCGAAACCAGATTTAATACAAGCATGGTGGTCGGTGATTTCCGGAGGCGTGGTAGCTAATTTTAAAGTTTGTACTGAAACTAGTCGATTTTGCATTAGCCGATAAAATCGACTTAGTCGACTAAGTCAGTCGATTTTTGAAAAATTGACTTAGTCAATACGTATAGGAAGTGTCGGAAAATGTAGGAAAACCAAACTTTAGAATAGTGAATTGACGGGAAAGTTCGGGATATATTATTTCTAATTAACTAATCATATTCATTTAAAATCATATGTTTGAGATTAACCAATTAGAACAATCGACTTCAACTTAGCCAGCTAAGCCGATTTTTACATATTGACTTAGTTAATTAGTGTTGACAGTAATAGACGAATAAAACTAAAACTGTTAAAAAACTTTTACCGTATTTTCGCGAAATAATGGTATGGGCGTTATTTAGAAAATCGTGCCCCCCTAAAATAGCATGCAAAGTCTCAAAATAACGCCCATGCGCGTCCCTAAATAACGCGCACCCCCATATAAAATCTGGATTTCGTCAAAAAAAAAATTTTTTTTTATTGTTAACAAAACTTTAATTATTTACTTGCATAAAATTGTAACGCTAAACGAGTTTATATTATTTACACAGGATAAATATTTGATATTTGATAAAATAAATTATTAATTTATATTTATTTCATTCAAGAGAACTACCACGATCAGCAGGTATCAAAATTTACGGCTTTAGCAGATTTCAAATGCCTTTCGAAATTATCTGCCTCAGCAAATTTCACGTATCCATTCGGGAACTATAAAGATCTATTATTATGTACATATAAAATCAGTAATTCGGATTCGATCTATGTTATTTAATCTTTAATTCACACTAATTTGGCTTATAAAAAAAAAACAACTTTATTTATAGTAATGATTTGAACCGGGAAAATTTTTCTTCATCTGTTAACCGAACCGAAATATTTTATGCCAACCGATTAAGCCGGTTAAGATTACTTCACACCTCGGAAAGTCTCGGACC